AACACGGCCTCGTCCGACTCCACAGCCCACACACTTGCTCACATCCTGTTACCACCTCCAGTGTTCCAATAGGAGATGTCGCCACCGGCCTTACAGAGAGCTGAGTCACCGGTTTGCAGGGATGCAAAATGACAAAAAAAAAAAAAAAAAAAGCACAAGAAAGAGCCTCTATCCAAAGTAATTTAGTGAGAAGCAAACCATACTTTGAGCAAATACCCAGTGTTCTACGAGAAAATTATTCCAGTGATGAGATGCAACTAAGTCCACACCGACCAAGAAGCCGCCATGAGTTCATTTTTGTCACCGACTGATGAAGTCACCCCATGGGTGATGTGCCAGAAATCTATTTCAAACTGTCTACCTAACCTCACCTCATGTCAAAATGCCCCAAATGTCAGCCAACTACCAGCATCTTCAAAACCACACAGGTGCCAACTACCACAGCAACAGGGGTCCGCGGCAAAGACTAGGCCAATCAATCTGGAAAGCCAAATCCAGCCCCCAGAAAACACTCATTAGGAACTTAACATCCAAACTGACAGCGTCTGCCACCCAGAGGCACTGGACGGATCGCCTCACCTCCTTTCCATCAGATGTGAACTAGGGACGTGGTCTCAAGTGCATGACATCAGACAGCAGACCCCTCCCACAGGTCCTCGAATCAGCTGAAGAAGCACCAACTGCAGAAGTCTCCAGAACCGCCCTCCCTCAGTGTGCCCGGAGCTGTGTTAACAGGGGCAGGTGAGTGCCCTGAAACTCGGCTGTCTGACTACTCGCTCCGAATGATTTTGCTGTCATTTGATCTGCTAACATGGGTCAGAAGCAGCTGCAAAGTCACTAACAGAAAGAAACTTTCTATAAAATCCACAATCTGGTTCCCTGGAAGATGCTTTGACCCAGAGCCAGCCATCCACGGAGGCTTGGAAATTGTTTCATTAGCGATTTTAGCCACCGAGGTATTTACTGTAACTGGATCTGGCCTATATGATGGGCTGTTTCTAGGGACTCGACAACTAAAAGAACATACTGGAACTGAACCCAAGAGGCAACCCCGAGTCAGCCACATCTCTCCCATCAGGGCAGGGAGGAGATTAGAGACCTATCTCCAGAGCCAGGAGCAGAGACAGAGGCATTATTAACTGGTAAATTACTAACCCAGCCCAATGTGAAACTGTCTCCTTTGACTTATGGAAACATACACGTTCCAAGTCAACAGTTCCTCTCTAACTTGCCACACAGTAAACACCCTGCTAAGCATTTCCACAGGTGCAAAACAATTTTCCCTTGGGATCAGACTTCCTGGCTAAAGATCTGCCAGGGAGCAGCTTTCTCAAATAGCTAGCTGGTTTCTGTTTTTTAACCAAATCAAAAACCTTAGCTCGTAAACAATTAAAATTTTCAACCTTCAGAGCAAAGTGAAAAGCCCTTTTGGGAGATTTTATTTTTCCTGTTTTGGAGCACAAACTGGGGATGTGGGGGAGAGTTAAAATAAAGGGGTGTGATGACCAGAGTGGTCACAACCGATAGTTTCCCCTTGGAGAGCTTTTGAATTGGTTTTCAGATTAAACCTCTCAGAGAAAGGAAGACTATCAAAGGACACTAGTGTAGACCATCTGCTGTTAAACCAGGGATTCCCAGTAACACCCTTTTTGTTTTGTTTTGTTTTCCTTTTTTGCAACATCCATTAATTTGAATTTTAACGCATACTGGTACATCAGTTTGGGAAGAAGGAAAAAATAAAAGGCAGTACTGTGACATATCAAAAACAAAGATTACCAAAACACAGTTTGACATAATTACTGGGACTTCTTGGACTCACTGGATGAGAGTTCTTTTGAGAACAGAAAACAATAAATCCTTGTATTGCTAGGCCTGAGTGAGAGCTGTGCAAATGTTGGGGGGAAATCTTTTGAAATTTAAGAACAACTGGATGCTAGCGTTCCTTCACACTGCATTGTCAAAGAAGCATCCTTCCAGAACTTAAGAGCTTTTGAAACTTGGAAGGTTGGTCCGTTAGCATCCAGTTTCAGCTCTTGGCTCCTGGAGGGGGGATTTCACCAAGGATGGGAAACGTCAAATAAACACTTTCAGAGGCCCCTGCGTCCAGGTTCGTGTGTTCAGTTCGTGCTTCAGACACTTTTGTGCAGCATACTGTGCTGGGTGGACATGTCTTTCCCCCAATAACTGATTTTCCGATACTTAAGACCACGGTTTCCAGGCAGTTAAGTTGTGAACGGATTAGAAGGAAGAACATTAACAAGTGGTGTGTCAACTGCAGTTTACATGTTTCTTCCCTTGAGAGTGAACGTGGTTTATCTGAAGAAGGGAAAGAAGGAAACAGAATCTTACTTTTGGAGGGGAACAGGCCTGTGTGGTAAAAGGTTTTCTCTAACAGAAGTATGTCAGGAACCAAAAGCGAGCAAGGGGGAAAACGGAACTTCACCGTGTTTTGGCTTTGGATGAAAAACGTATGCTTGTAAAACACATCAGAAGTACAGTGTTTGGTTTCTGCAAGTCATTTCTTTCACTGTTTTTTTTTTTTTCCTTGTTATGTGTAGGGGTGGACTGGGGGCTGGAGGAAGCGTCCTCTCCACCGTGACTGGGTGTGTAACACGTTCACATCAACTTTTCACGGGCAGACATGTGCTTTTTAACAAAGGAGCAGTGGGGGCAGGCAGGGGAAAAGGCTAGGGCTTGACACAGTTTACAGATTTTGTGCTTAAACAGTACTTTACAAATGACTTGCTCAATTTAAACGTCCATCACCGTAAGGGACCGTGGAGAAAAATGAGGAAATGGGGATCTACTTGAACCTTGGGGGGTGAGGGGGCACGAGGGGGTGAACATTAACTTGATGCAAATACCATAAACCAAATTCAGTAACCTTGTCTCCTGCACATGGCCTTTTCTTCAAAGATGAAGGCTGGAGACAGAGCAATGGATTGAAATGGAGAGACGTCAACAGTTTGAAACTAAAAGGGCCTTTTGACGTAGGTTTTTGTTATGTTACAGTAACGCTTTTTTTTTTTTTTTTTTTTGAGAAAACTGTGTACGTCAAATTTTTAAAAATTAAACACTGAAAGGATGTGCAAGTCTAAAAGGGCTCAGCAGGGTTAGAATCCTGATTCAAACATTTAAATTCACTTTCTCAAGCATCACTTTGGTCTTAAAGGCGAGGAGGAAGGCAGGCAGGAAAGGGACAAAAAGAGGGAGATAATTGAATTACTCAATAAAAGAAGCTACTTACCATCCCAACCCATTGTAAGACATACACTTCTGACATAAGAGAACTCCTTAGAGGTCGAATAAATCGTGTAAGCACCTTTGGGTAAAGGACCTGCCCCCCAAGAGGGGGGCCAGGAAGCCCGCCATGGGCTTGGCTCACAGGCCTTTGCTAATCTGTTTATTTCCTTGAACTGGAGTCAGGCTGCGATGGGCTGCGATTCCCAAGACGATACATTAAATTAGAACAAAACAGAACAAAAAAAAAAAAAAAAAAAAATTTTTTTTTGTAAAAGCTCACCAAACTGCTGCACTTGTCTCAGAATGTGGGTGGCATTTCTTTTAAAAGGCAAAGTATGGTCTGTGAAGGAGAAAGGGGAAAGGGAGGTGGGAGTGGGGAGAAGGGGACGGGGCGCCTGGCGGAGAGGCCCTGCCTGGAAACCCCGTCTGGGGGAGGGTCCTAGGCTGCTCCCCAGGCCGGGCTGCGACGGAGACAGAGGGAGGCAGCCATCTGTCCAGACCGTTCCATCCATCCCCCCCCTTCCTCCAAGACTGCCTTCCTGCTGGCTAACACCTTCCATCGCCAAACCCCTCAGCGGCCTCCTGTTCCCCTTCCGCCCCTGACCCAGGGAAAGGTGGGCAAACTCTGCGCCCCCTGATTCCTTCTGCTCAGGCAGGAGAAACGGGGGCCCCAGCTCTCGTCCTACAGCCCGCCAGGGAAGGGCGTGGGGAGAGCCCGTTTCGCACTTTAATAAAAGAGAAGGAGGTACTACTGCCTTTCACCCCCTGCCAGAGCACAAGGGAACCTCGTTTTCTCTAGCCAAAGACATGGTTCCCCATTTTACCCAGAAACGAGGGGCTCCCACGAGAAAGCTGGGACCAACTTCTCTTTCCCTCCAAGGCTGGAAAACCAAACCTCACCCTCCCAAAAAAGACTGGGGGCCCTCTACCTAGTCTAGTAGGTACGTCACCTACCTACTAAATGCGAGGGGACCTCTCCCCGTAGGGAAAAATATAGGGAAGGAGTGTCCCCTCCCCAAAAAACGAGGCTGGGGGTTAAATACAGAGGACTGAGTGATTTTCACCCCAATTTTTCTCCCTAGGGAATAGCTAGGAAACACCTCCCGCCAAAAAAAAAAGTACAAGAAAAAACCCTCCCAACCCAAAGGGGCCCCCTTCATTCGTATGGACTGAGCGAACCCCCACTTTCTTCTGCCTAAGAAAGCTAGGACACCTCTGCAAGTAGGGCAGGGCACACCTCCCCCAGGAGAAAGGATACTGCCGGGGGCTGGGAGACCCCCCAACTCCAAACCCCTAAGAACGGGCTGTTGCTCGAGATCCCCCCCAAAAAGGATCCGGGAGCCCCTCCCCCATCCCCGAAGCCAGAAGACGGGCGGGCGGGCCCGTGGCTGCTAGCTCGGGGCGCAGGGGCAGCCAGGACCCCCGTGGGCCTCCGCAGCCCCCCCCCGGCGCCCCCTCCCCAGGGCGGGCGCGGGGGGTCCAGGGGGCGCCTCCTCACCTTCCCCTCAGCATGGCGCCCAAAAAAGACAGAGCGAGAGCGAGGGAGAGCGGGCGAGCGCCGCAAGGGGGGGAAAACGCATGAGGCCGGGAGAGAAAGCAAGCGAGAAAGAGCGAGCGAGCGAGAGACACCCACCGACCCCGCCCTTCCTCCTCCTCCTCCTCCTCCGCGGCCCGGCCCAACATGGCGGCCGCCCCCCTTCCTCCTCCTCCTCTTCCTCCCCCCGGGGACGCTGCCCCGGCCCGGCCGGGGGCCTGACCTGTCGTCAGGGAGCGGGAGGCGGTGGTGGAGGAGGTGCGGGGTGGCCGGGCGGGCGTCGGGGGAACACGGAGGAGGCGAAGGCGTTGATGGCGGCGGCGGCGATGGCGGCGGCGGCGACTCTGATGGCGGCGGCGGGGGGGTCCCGGGCGCGGCCTCCATAGTTCCTTTGGGGGGGGGGTTAGTGCACGAAAAAGGACTGCTTGGGCGTGGCGGGAGGGGTACACTTCAGCTCTGAGGGATCCTGATGGGAATAGGTATATATTTTTTCGGTTTCGGAATCACCTCTAAGCCGACCTCCGCGTAGGCCGCGCGGCCTATGCCTCGGCGGGCCGCTCGCCGCCTGCTTTCTCCGCAGCCCGCCCTTGCGGCCACTCGCTCACGGGCATGGGGCCCTCATCGGGGCGAGAGCCCCACACACACCCTCGCGAGCCCGGGAGTGAGAGACCCGGGGGACACGGACACTGGTGGGTGGTTGGGTGTAATTAGCGCGAGCCGCGCGCGATGGAGCAAGCGAGGGGGAAGGAAGGGGGAGAGGAGAGCGAGCGAGGGGGAAAAAAAAAAGGATTATGGGGAGAGAGGAAATGGGCCGCGGAGACGGGCTGACTGTCAGTCTGTCTGTCTGCCCGCCCCAGGTGCCCCGGCTGCCCGGCCCCCGCCGCAGTCAGGAATTCACACAAAATGGCGGGTCGGCCCGGACGAGCCGAGAGGCTGAGGCAGGAGGAAGGGCGAGGTGGGAGGGGGAACTGGGCGGTGGAGGCGGAGGCCGCGTCACGTGGAGGAGAGGGGCAGAGGCCGCTCGCCCGAAGGGCGGCGGAAAGAGTCGACCGTGAGAGTGAAACCGAGAGGAGGCGGAAAAAGCCGAAGGGACCTGAGTGGGGAGCTAAGCAAAGAGCCGAAGGTAGCGAAGCCGAAGGGGAACGGAAAAAGCCCAAGTTGACGGGGAATGGCAGGTGACAGAGTGGGAAGTCCAAGAAAGCCGGAAATAGCCGAAGCGGATGAGGAATGGGGAACAAGGTGGGATTCTGAAGATCCGGAAATAGCCGAATGTGGCGCGGGGGGGGGGGTAGGAGGCGGAAACAGCCGAAAGATGCCGACTGGGAATAATAAGCTTAAATCTAAAGGAGCCCAAAGGGGCGGGGCTAAAGAGGCGATTAAGAGAGTACAAGATTTTAAGGAATTGGCCCGAGGACAAATGGGAAGACCCAAAAAGTACTAGCTTGAGGACAGGCGGGAGAGCTGAAAGTTTTAAAGTGGGAGTATGGAAAGGAATTAAAACTATGGACAGAAATCAAGAACTAAAGGCCGAAGCTGGAGGCCTGGTACCAGCAGGCGAAGGTTTCCGGAGAAAGGGGGTGGAGTCGAGCAGGCCCGGAGATGACGTCATCTTGGGAAACGCGAAAGGGGCGGAGCTTGCTCCTGCATTCCGGAGAGTTTAAGAATCTGGGAGGTGGTGGCAAGTGGAAGGCTCTCAGTAAATAGCCAACGTTTAACCGCTAACCGCATTGTTAAAGAGTGCCCAATCGTAAAATCGTCTGACCCTCCCGGTGATCCTAAGAGTCGTTGTTATTCCCATTTTATAGATGCAGAAGTTGAAGTAAGTGGCTCAAGGTCATAGGTTTAGCCGTAAGGAGCAAGATTTTTCAGCCGAGCTGGCTGGCGTTTCATTGCCTCCAGCAAAAATGTTTTCAGTTCCTTCCATTTGCACCCAGAGTTCTTCGTTCGATGCTTGTGTTGGTTTTTTTGTTTGTTTGTTTTGTTTTTTGAGAGCGCCAACCCTGACCCCTTTGATGGGCCTTGGGGGCACGGCATTTTATCCTCCTGAAATTTAATAATACCCCCAAGGAGAGGAATGGTAAGTTAAGGAATAAAGCAGAAGGGCCCTGTATTTGGGAGGCCAGGAGAGACTGAAACCAAAACCAAAAACTAAACTCATTCCCGTGGAGTCGGATTCATTCCGAGGAGTGCCTGGTGGTTCAAACCTTAGGCCCTCGGGTTTCTGAGGTGGTACCTCTACAGAAGTAGATTGCCCAGTCTTCCTTCTGCGTAGTGGTTGGTGGGTTTGAACCGCCAGCCTTCTAGGTAGCAATCAAATGCCTTAGGCACCGCACCAGCAGAGCTCCTTCCCCGGAGAAGGATATCATTCTTGGTGAAGTGAGTGGTCAGTGTAAAAGGGGAAGACCCTCAACAAGATGGATTGACATGGCTGCAATGATGAGCCCAAGCATAGCAAGGATTGTGAGGCTGGCGCTGGACCAGGCAATGTTTTGTTCTGTTGGACATAGTTGTGTTATGAATGAGAGCCAACTCAGTGGCACCTAACAACGACAATAACATGAGTCTAAACTGCTCGACAGCAGCTAACAACAACAACAATCTCCTCAAACATATAACTAAACCAAACCAAACTCACTGCCATCAAGTCAATTCTAACTCATAGCAACCCCTGTTGGGTTTCCAAGGCTGTAAATCTCATGGAAGCCGATTTTCTCATCTTCCGCAGAGTGTCTGGTAGCTTCAAACCCCCAACTTTTTTGTTTAGCAGCCCAATGCCTTAACAACTGCGCCACCAGCACTTCCTGAACATATAACCACACACATTAATTTTGCGTTTTCTGGAACATCATGTAACTGGAACCTATAATACCTTGTCTTTGAGTCTAGCTTCTTTAATCAACATTATGTTTGTGAGATCCATCCATGCTATAGCCTGTAGTTGTACTTCATTCATTCTTGGTTTTGTGTAGTATTCCATTGTGTGAAGAGCTTGGCATAGTGGTTAAGGCATTTGGTTGCTAACCAAAAGGTCAGTGGTTCAAACCTGCCAGCCACTTTGCAGAAGAAAGATGAGGCAGTCAGCTTCCGCAAAGATTTACGTATAGCCTTGGAAACCCAATGGGATGGCTATGGCTCACATTCAACCCCATGGCAATGAGTTTGGTTTGATTTATTCCATTGTGACTACCATCAATCAGATATTAGTGATGATATGGAGTAAATGGAACTCTCCTCACTGCTGATGGGATGATAAATTGGTCCAACCACATTGGAAAATGGTTTGGCAGTATCTGGCAGAGCTGAAGGAATTCTGGTGGCATAAGGCCTAAGGCATTTGACTGCTAACCAGAAGGCTGGCGGTTCAAGCCTACCAGCCACTCCTTGGAAGGAAGATTGGGCAATCTACTTCCATAGTGATACTGCCTCAGAAACCCAAGGAGGGTTTGCCATGAGTTGGATCTGACTCAATGGCAGTGAGTTTGGTAGTTTTTTTTTTTTTTTTGGGGGGGGTACTATAGCTGAACACTTGCCTGGACTATGAGTCAACAATTCCACCCCAAAGTATACTGTATACCCAACAGAAATGCATGTGTCTAGTCACCAAAAGGCATGAATGAACAAGAATATTCATAGCAGCAGTCTGCAAAATAGGATTAACCAAAAATGACCGAAATGCCCTCCAATAGGACAACACACAAAAACACTGTAGTGATTCATTATCCCTATTTGATACATACATATTGAGAATCTCCGGATCTGCTCACTGCCTTGGAGTGGATGCCGACCCATAGCGACTCCTCCTTTGGTTTTCCACATCTGCTGGTCATTAAGACCCAAGTGGCACAGTCATTTTCAGTGCATCTTGGGCCAGGCAGAGCCCCCAACTGCCTTGATGAATGAAATTAGTTCTGCCAATCATGATATGAGTTACCTTCAAAATCCCAAAAAGTCTACTAAATGCTATGAGTTTTTCTTACTGGAGAGGATTTTCATCTACTTGCCTTTTGTTCTGGGGAAAAAAAAAAAAAAAAAAAACTAGTATTCCTCTGTCCCTGGGTTCCTGAGCTGTTTTCTTCTAATCTTCTAAGCTTCTAAGTTTCTGAGCTGTGTTCTTCTAAGAGTGAACATTCTTTGATGTCCATAAACCTAATACTTCATGGAACCTGTTTCCTCCTTTTTGTTTGTTTTTTTCCCTAGTTCCTGGAGTAGCTTTAGGGTGAGTACTTTGTAGTGTGGTTGAGGTGAATTTCACAGGGAAGACCTTCCCCAGAGAATGGAATAAACACCAGTAGGTTTCAATGCTGGCTCCAATCTCTGGAGACACCCTGGGGAAGAAAGGAGAACACTGATCTGAGAGAGGAATTATGGTGGTAGATTCTGCTAACTGCCAACTCAACAGCTATTTTCCCTCTAGGAGATGAATTACTGGTCTGCCCCTGGCTCTCAAGGGGGATATGGCGCCCCCTAGGGGACATTTTGGAAGTTAATGAGTGTGTTTTTTTTTCTCTGTCAACTGACTCTCTGGGGGACTCCCTTAGAGGCATCTGGAAATTTGCAGAGACATTTGTTGGTGATCACAGTGATGAAGACGTTTAAAACCTGGAAATAGAAGTATTTATTTACAGACTGTATTCCCTAAGATGCTTGATATAGATAAGCCAAGCCCAGACCCACTGCCATAGAGTCAATTCTAACTCATAGAGACCCCCATTTGGGTTTCCAAGGCTGTAAATCTTTATAGAAGTAGATTGCTTCATCTTCCTCCTGCAGAGCAGCTGGTGGGTTTGAACTGCCAGGCTTCTGGTTAGCAGATACATGCCTTATCTGCTACACCACTAGAGCTCCTTAGGTAATTTAGTGACTTCTAATTCTTTCTTGCAGAAATTATTTGACATCTTTTTCCTGGGGACAGGAAGTAGCACACCAAAATGACATAGCTTTCGATTCAGAGATTTAAAATGAGGATATTATTATTGTTGTTGTTGTTTTGTTGTGTTGTATGTGCCGTTGAGTCAAATCTGATTCATAGTGACCCCTCCTTGGGTTTCCGAGGTGGTATCACTACAGAAGTAGGTTGCACAACTGTGCTTCTGAGAAATGGCTGGTGTGTTTGAACCGCCAGCCAGCCTTCTGGTTGGCAGTCAAGTGCCTTAGGCACTACGCCACCAGAGCTCCTTTTAGGTTAGTAATCGAGGGCAAACCATTTGTACTATCCACAATAATAATAGGAGCTGGTTCAAACCCACCAGCCACTCCTCAGAGGGAAGGTTGGGCAATCTACTTCTATAGTGATACCATCTCGGAAACGCAAGGAGGGGTCGCTATGAGTTGTTCCAACTTGACAGCACATAACAACAACAACAACAATTAACCTAAAGGTTAGC